CTGCTAAAATTATCTCAAATAATAAATGTAGAGGAAGCTACCAAATCGATTTCTTTTCACCAGTTTAGGGGTTTTGACCAACTTCTCTATCACTATACAATCAATCATAACTTCCACGCAGAGGTCCAACTTTGCCGTTATCATAGCTAAGTGGTTCAGTTAATACATTCTCAAATCAATTTTTTAGTCACAAACCATGACCTCAGGCTTTTATGGCCTTATTTTATTTCCTTCCGTTGTCATCAATATTTTCTGGTAAATTTCATAATTCCCTAGAGCTTGAACCTGCCTAAACGGTCACTCTATTACTAATTGCTAATATTATTAGAGAGATTGACTCTCCACTATTGAAAATCTAAACAGACAATGAAAATTAGTAATTAAAGTTGATTTTATAAGATATTAAATACATTGACATGTAGTAGACATTTAGTAAATATTTGATGAATGAATGAATGATCTAATGAGTAAATTAATTGGTACTATTTCTAAGCTGCAATGTAAAGGATTGATGTTTGAAAGAGATTATAACTTTTTTGCACCTAAGCATTATCATACACTTTGAAAGAGTTCCTCTGGCTTTTCTTTATAGTTACAAATATGTTCCAGTTTTGAACTATGCATTAGAAAATGACTTTCCCCATTTGCTCCAACACCGCGGTCAGAGAGAACTTACTTTATGCAAACTGTATGCTCATGTTTTCTGGAAATTCCCTATCAGTTCAGTTCACACACAGGAAAGAGAAGATGAGGTGGCACTTGGCTTAAGCTTGAAGTCAGTTTCATTCTTGCACCTGGTCCCACACAGTTCAGACTCTGTGCTGGGAGCATGATCCTTGTGTTCTAATCTTTGGCCGGGGTTATTGACCTTTTCTTTGCAGACCTGCAGTTCCCGGGCTCTTGATTCTCCAAGCTTCTCCTCTGAGTTTCTGATCTCTATTACCTGACTTCCATGTTTCTTACCTGCCTGGGACCCATTGTGCTCAACGACTTCTCTGTGACCAACAAACTTCTCTGGATCAGAAATCTTGACCTAGTCCAAATTCCAAAACCAAGCCCTCCAGCCTGTTGTGTCCTTTTGCCATACCCACTTGGTATTCTAGCTATTCATGGAAGGCAAACCGGGGCAAGTGCACTCCCTTTATGAAATTAGTTCCTGAACTAGCCTTTATCTTATCTGCAGTCCAGTTGCATCTGTCAACCTCATTCCAACCCTCACTATAATTTCTCAGTCTTCCCTGAGCTATGCTTTCTCAGTCTAGTAAGCTACTTATTCAGTTGTTTCTGGATCCCACCAGCCTGCTTTATTTCCCTACTACAACTTTGTCCTCTTTGAACTGGTATAGCAGTAAAAACAAACAAATAAATAAACAAGCAAACAAACAAAAACAAAAGAAACCAAAACTTCTTTTTTTCTTGGATCAAAACACCCCATGCTTATGAACTGATGGATAATACTGACCAGGTAGAATTCAAAAGGGATTTCAGGTGTAAAAATGATAACAATGCCTCTGTTGAAAATGAGGGGAAATAGGATAGTGTTAATCCTCAACTATGTGAAGGTGCGATGGCCACGTACTCACCTAATGTTCGGCTGGCACATGCTGGACTTTTAGTGCAAATTAGAAAATTTCCCCATCCAGGTGGGTGATTCACAAAAAGACATTCTCTCTGGGTATTTGACGTCCAGAAGCTGATCCAGTCCTAACAAACAGAGCCCCAGCCACCGTGCCCCACACTAAGCCAAGTACTTCCTAATTATAGTTTAACCTGCATGTGGTCTCTAGAATTCCAGAACTCAAGGGAACAATGTAGTTCTTAAGTACAACACAGGTTATGGAATATGTTTGTGTATGCAGCAGGCCTCCTGAGCCCATCCCCCCCCTTAAATTCTGATTACTGACTGCTCCTTGTGGTAGACTGTTTTCGGAAAAGGCACAACAATTGCCCCATATTTAATGCCAAAAGGCATGGTGGAATATTGATTTAAATTTTTACTGTTCTTGTTTTGATCATCCCATTCTTAGCAAAAGACGGGCATGATTGCAAAATAGCACGGAAGATGCAGACATATGAGGATAAAATGTACATACTTTGGGTTTTGCCATGTGTCTACCTGAGCATTTCCAGATGCAAAAGGAAAGAGATAGATTGCTGACTAATCAGAGGGACTTGCTTTATTTTACATTTTTATAGTTGCTGTGTAATTTTTCCCACAAATTAGAAAAAACCTTCACCAGGGAGGAGTGGGAGGTTGAAGGAAGAGTGATGTAAAAATTCTAGATAACTGTCTTCAAGTTTTGTGGAACAACTGGAACAACTCTAACTAAGGACATTATTTAACTCTGCTTTATGTTGGGATTCGAACATGTAAGTATCTTGTCCTTTACATACACCTATTGCTGTGGGAAAGTTGCTGTGTGAGTTCTGCTCACATTTCATTCTTTGAAGGGTCTCAAGACACAGTAACCCATGTGACCTGTTTTACACTGCTGAGAGAAATATACTAGTCAAAACCGCCCTTGGATTTTGAGAACCATGATTATAAACAGCCAGAGGAAAACAAATACTTGAGAAAGCCTTCCCTCAGAAAGATATCAGTTATTGAGAGAAGGAAAAACCCTAAAGCGAAACATCGTGATTAATATAAACAAAGAAGCATACATTTTATTTATAATTCATCACTTAATTACACAAATAATTTCCATTTTTCATTGCTCCCATGATCAGTTTCCACACTCTAGTACACTAACACCCATTTCTATTTCCTAAATGTGATATTTTTTTTCTGCAAGGCAACTTAATACATTTCAAATTCATACTGTTTATCCAATTTATGTGAGCTTATGAGAATATTATTTAGCCCTTCTGCTCCAAGGGATATGAAAGAGAGGAAAAGACCAGGCAGAGAAACCCTTAAAAAGAAAACACAAGTCAGAGTAAATACCTAAGGAAAAAATTAAATATTAATGCTTGAAATGTTTAAAAAAGGAAATAAAATTGGGAGCTGGCAAAAATTCCTCAGTAGAAATTATTCTTGAAGTGTCCCAATGGAAAGGGCTTCACCTGTTACAAAAATTCATTTATATTCAAAGGAGTATAAGGGAATCCTTTGGAGGTGATGAAAATGTCTCATATCTTGATTGTGATGGTGATCTTACAGGCATATTCAACTGTCAGTACTCATCAAACTGCACCCTTTAAATGGATGCAGTTTTACATGTAAATTATACTTCAATAAAGTTGGTTACAAAAAGAAGAAAGGAAAACACTTATTTATAGTGCTTAGAAGACAGTTAAGTGTATCGAAAATAAATAATCTGTAAACAATTGTCAATTTTCACAATTACACAAAAGTTATTGCTTTGAATGTACTCTTATACTCTAGTATTTCCCAATAAGATTTTTAAAAGTTATGACGTATAATAAATGTGAAGTATCTCAAATATAATATTCATCTGTGATCACAAGAAAAAGCGGATTTGTTGCTTTTTTTTTTGTTATTTGATCTAAAACTTAGAGTTCTACCCGATTAATGCTGAAAAAATTTGAAATATTTCATATATTATGGTAGAATATAGAGTCTATGGATTGGAAGATAGGAATCTGAAATATGGTAAGTATCAAGAATTGTGAAGGGGCCTGCTCCATGGCCGAGTGGTTAAGTTCGTGCGCTCTGCTGCGGCGGCCCAGGGTTCGGATCCTGGGCGTGGACATGGCACTGCTCATCAGGCCACGTTGAGGCAATGTCCCACATCCCACAACTAGAAGGATGTGCAACAAAGATATACAACTGTGTACAGGGGGAGTTTGGGGAGATAAAGCAGAAAAAAAAGGAAGATTGGCAACAGTTGTTAGCCCACGTGCCAATCTTTAAAAAAAAAAAAAAGAATTGTGAAGGCCCTGAGAATTCACCCAACTTTCAAGCTGATAGGTCAGACTGCCAAAAGTTTCATGGATGCTGGTAGAAGCCACAGGATCCCTGAGTCAGAGACAAAGGATAGTTTATTACTTACAGCAATAGCAGTAGCCAGAGTATCAGCATTTTTGGTGTCAGTTCTCCAGTCCATTATTCTTGCAAAATGATTCAAAGAGGGCCAGATAACATCTGCATGCATAGTGGGTTGTGTTATAGTGGAGGAACCTGAATTTAAGGAACTCAAATCTTTTATAATGGGCAGTAAGCATGCCTTCCCTTTGCTCCAGAGGGAAACATTATCTCTGTCTTCCAAGGCTATTCACAATACACATATCCATGAAAGGATAATCCAGAGCAAAGGACAGTCAGTTCCTCATGAGACATGCAGAAATACTAAAGGCCTGTGGAGAATGGTCTTCCGATAATAACAATTCTATTGTTAGAGGAAGTACTTCAATGTACCTTGAATTCTTTAAAGGAAATTATAACTCATTTATTAAAAACCTCTGGTTCCCCAGATCCAATTTTTATGTTAATAAGCATATATAAAATTCTGTATGCATCAGAATATCAAAAACAACACAAGAAAATGTATATTAATTAATAGTCAAAAAAACAGACAGGGCAACGTTCAGCCCACCCCCTAAGGCACCCACTGAACTTCCTTGTAAATCACCTGTGCAGTCATTAGAAAACCCAACTGTTAAGAGCTCTTTCAAATGATGAGCTGCTTGTCCAAGAAATTCATTTTTTATTTACCAAGGTAACATGGTTGAAATGAATCCAGTCTTCAAATCACCTGCTCATAAATACAAAGTACATATCTTTAATACATTAAAGAAGCCAAAATGGAGGAGTTTTATTTGGTTTACAGCCTGCTGCTATTTAGAAATAAGGTGCTAACAAATTCCATTCCAAAATAATTATATCCTCCACCAGCTCAGTAGCTGCAGCCAGAAATCCGTACATCACTCGAGATTCCAACCTCTCTTTACCTTCTCGCATGTGGTCAGTTGCCCACCCGCACCGTCTTTGTTTAATAGCTATCATCTGCTTGTGAGCAGGGACTGTGTCTTTTTTCTGGGTATCAACAGCACCTGCCATTATGCCAGACACACAGTAGGTACATAATAAAAGTTTGTGGAATGAATAGCTCTACTGCTTTATCAGAATCAAAAAACAATGCACAAAGAGACGTAGGAGGAAGATCCATTTTTTTAGCAAACATGCATGCTACCTTCTGAATAATTGTAGATACTTTCACATAATTGATAACATGAGTCTATATAGTGTTTAATGGTAACCCCCAAATCCATTCAAAAACTGCAAAATTTCTTCTCTGGCCCTTGTTTAGATCACCCAGCTGCACTTAACTGTTTAGTTTCTTAGAGAAGAAGGGACTATCATTACGAGACATATGCATCCATGGATAAAACTTGAGATTTGAACTATAGGACACTGGTGGCATTCTTGGCCCCATCAATTTGATGCTGTAAAGTCTAAAATCATACCTGAAATGCCCCCCATTCATTAGAAATTATTTATGTTTATTTAGGCCTATTGTGCTTGTAACCAGGTAGTTATTCTCAAAATATACAGCTTCTGTTGGGGAAGATACAGGGAAAAAATTCAAAGAAATTAGTCTCCAGTTCTCATGGAAAAACTTCTAGGAGCAAATTCTTCCTGTTAAAAAAAATATTAATTAAAAAAATTAGTGAAAAGATAATATCCAGGCATGTTATGACAGTTTAACCATTTCAAGATGATGTAACGGTTTTCTCAAATGTAGGTGCGGTGCATTTGCTACCCAATGGGACAATGGCTCGGGAGACCATTTCAGGGAGAGCTTTTAGTAACTGCCCCATACAGAATTAGCCTTCGCTATGGCAGTGTCTACACAGTCAGCATTCCACTCTGCCCTGGACCACAAAGCTTACTCTAAGGCAAGAAAAACGCCAATCATATTTTCGGCATACGGATAAGTCAAGACCTCATCCAAAAGATAATTTTAAAAATTTGTATTTTTAAAATTAACTTGATCTATAAATCATTTTACTCAATTTGCTTCTTGAGCACTAAATTCCTTCTGTCAAGTGTAAACTGTAAAATGTTTACAGTTCAAATGAGAAAAAAAGAAGCAGCACAAATAGAATTGGTAATTATCAGAAAACTTATTCAGAAAATGAGCTATATTTATAATTCCAACCAAACTGTTTTAGTCTGCTCAGGATGCCATGACAAAATACCATAGACTAGGTAGCTTAAACAACAGAAGTTTATTTCTTACAGTTCTGGAAGCTGGGAAACCGAAGATTAAGGTGACGGCTGATTTGGTTTCTGGTAAGAGCCCTCTTCCTGGCTTGCAGATGGCTACCTTCTTGCTTTGCCTTCAGACATCGGGCAGGGAGGGGAGAGAGAGATTGAGAGTGAGCGCTCTGGTCTACTAATCTTATAGGATTAGGGCCCCACCTTTAAGCCTCATTTAACCCTAATTGCCTCCTAAAGTCCTTGTCTCTAAATGCGGTCATATTGTGGATTAGGGCTTCAACCCATGAATTTCAAGGGAACACAATTCAGTCCATAACACACACCATAAACTGTTTTCAAATTAATTTTTCAGGTTTTGATGCAATTTTGAGAAACATAAATTTGATGTCTATATTTTAAATTGCGTAAGTATTACGTAAACAAATTCTGAAAAATTTAAATAAAATAACCTTTCAGTCTGGCCACCCTCATCACCCACCTCTGAGCACTTTTTTCTGCACATTTACTTAGAAACTGCTACAGTTATTAGAAGGTCTGCCATATATAGAACCATTTTTTTCACTAGAAAGAGCCACCAAAAGTGAAATTCCCTGCATTAGAAAATAGTGATCTGTCTATTGCCGGAAGTTTTTAAGCAGGCACTTGACTGATTTGGAAGGAGTGTTACAGAAGAAATTCAAAGTTTGGATGAAGGGATGAGAGGATGAGTTTTAAAGAGGTGTCTTCTTACCTTACTCTACACGATTCTAAGCCGTAATTATACCAAAGTTATCACACACACACACACACACACACACACACACACACACACCCAGTTCCTTGACTTCACTGAAACCCACTTTCCCCTTCAGATCCTGTTTCTGCTCTCGAGTGGGGACTTGGGACTGTGTTTTCTTTCAAACCCCAAATATCTTAGGGTTGGAAGTGGTACTCAATGCCATTTCCGGACCAATAGTTGCTCTCTCTTTTGTAAGCTTCTCCTCTGAGCAGCTGGTCATAAGAACATTTTCTCCCTGTAGTCATCACTTCACCATCCGGTCACTCATTTAAAATTGAACAATGATTCACAGTCTTCCTTTCAACTCAAGCCTGCCATAATGCTAGGCAAATTCAGCATCATACGGATGCATGATCACCTTGGCGGGCAGTGTCCTAACTTGATATCCAGTGATCCTTTCTATCACTCCACCTCCAGTACCAGCTTCCACAGTCACACTATGAATTTGGTCATCATTAGAAACTGCATTCCAAATAATTCCACTATGACACATTCAGGTACACACATATACACACATGCACGTGTCCACACACCACCTTTAATCTTTTCTCTTTTCAGTTGCCTTATTGTAGTCCCTTCATTGCAACACTTCTGCCTGCCTCAAGACCTGCAGTCCAATGACACTGCCACTTTCTCTACATCCATCAGCTTCCCCAGTACCCCACACCTCTCCATCAGTACAATCAACACCGCTTCCCTCTCTCTTTTCTACCCCTAGCTCCTAGCTCCATATTTCATCTGCTTTGTTCCTACTCATCCTTCAGGCCTCATGTTAAGTGTCACTTTCATAGGAAACATCATCCCAATGTCTAAGCTCGAAGAAGCTCCCCTATTAAACCATTTTCTGAATTCTATGTACTTTCTTCAAATACAATAATTATCATAATTATGTCATTGCGGATTTGAACATAGGAAGTCTGTTTTGTCCTAGATTGTAAATCGGTTAAGGGTAGAGACCATGGTTGTTTTATTCTCAACTATATGTCTACTAGCGTCATACCTGGCACATAGAAGATACTCAAGAAATATGCATGGAGCAACACACACACACACGCACACACACACTCTTAAAGTTTTCTTCCAGTAGATGAACATCTGTATTATGCAAATGATGTTAAATCAAAAAGAACATTTTGGGGGTTTTTTGCTGCCTAACACCAAAACTAATTGCAGTCACTTTTTGAAAAATACAATAACTTACAAATAACCTCTTCCTGGTTTCTGGGTTACAACTGACTCCATTCTCTGCTGGATGGTCATTGGCTGAGAGAGGCGCCCCACCAAGAGGCTCAGCACTTCTCCAGCAGAAAGTGTAAAGAGAAGCAGCAGAAATAAATGAATATGTGGAAGAGAAAGTCAAAGGGTGTTTGTAATTCAAAGATGCCAGAATAAATTGCAAACAGAGGCTGTGTAACACAGGAGGGAGGAGGGAGATTCTAGTTTTATTGTTAAGAGCAGAATTCCTCAAAGATAGCTACATTAGTAATCAAAGCTCAACGATGATGGAAACACCAACACTTCCTTCTCATTCAGGATATGTGGCTGCAGCATAATTTCTCCAGACTGGGGAGATGGAGGAGTCTTACTTCCCTACCCTTCCAAATGCATCTCCCAGCCTCCCAAAGAGGTCAACCCTATATCCATGACACACTACAAATTACTGTCCTCAGCATTGTCAAAACATATCTTCAACTAATTCTTGGTGGCGGTCTGAAAGAAGAGGAAGGGGATGGGTGAGGGGAGAGGGTGAGTTCCAAATTATTTTGCAGTGCATCAAAAAAAATCAATTAACACCAAAATACATGGAGAAATGAATGACAGAAATCACCATAGCAATGTGTTTCCTCATTACTCCTTCAACCAGACAGGCCCAAACCAAGATATATGAGCAACCTGGATAGCTGAATAAAGATATCTTCAACATATATTTAGAGAAAAGGCTGAAAACCAAATGGGGTAGGAACAGGGAGAGGTGGGAGGGAGGCAGAGAATGGAGATGACTGGCAGGATGCTCAAGTGCGTGGCCATTGTCGTGGGCACCTCAGCTCTAGCCCCAAAGTTGTGTGTCCTTCTCAGCAGCCCTAGAAGTCATAGGATCCTTAGAGGCACTTTAGCCTGTTTCTTTGGGATCTCAGCCCCACCCCTCAAGTGGTTTCGAAGCATCCTCCATTTACATACAGCGCTCTCTTGGAAAGGAGGCATGATAGATTTTTATCCGTTTTCACAAATAAACAAACTGGACTTCGAAGGACTATGTAATTAGCAAAAATAGCTGGGTCTACACATTGCCGAGAAATAGAACAAAAAAATCAAAATATACAATCGTATGAAAATATGGGCTGGTATAGGCCAAACAGCTGACTGATTTAAATGAGTTGTTTTTTTTTTAAATCAGTCAATTAAGCACTTCTTAATTCAGTCACTTTGGCAAGAGTCAAACAAAATCTTTGAAACTACAACACACTGTAGACAGTAAATACCACTACTGTTCTTTTGGCAAAGAAGGTTACAAATAAATCTCCTGATATCCCAGGTGTAAGGAAATGCTCTAACAAGATCCACTTGTATAAAATCACTCGACTCAGGCAACTGATTTCTTACTATTTACTCAGAGCAAGAGAGAGGAGGAAGACAAGGCTTTAGGTTTATTTATAAAAGGCTGTGCCACAGGAAGGCAAAAAAGGAAGGAATACAATGTAATTTGATGGTGGATGAATTTGCAAGCAAAGGAGTCTAAAAAAGAAAGATTGTGCTGACCCAATGCTCACAGTTTACTTTTTAAAGTTGTGGGAAAAAGAAATGGCAAAGCTCTCTATTTTGGTAAACTTTTGTTCTAAAAGATAGAATTAAAAATAACAATATCCAATCATCTCTAAATTACTTCCACTAAAAACACCACCAAAGGACTTATAATGTTTTTAAGGACTTTATTCTCATAATTTCTTCCTTGGCTCTGAAAACAATGGTTTAAAATAACTTGATTTGCATTTATCCCCTTACTGCCTTTCTACGCATACATTTTGAAATGCTTTCTTATGGGAAGGCCATTCCATGCTTAGCTTTCATCATTTATGAAATCTATTTTTCTTCACCCCAAACTTGCATGTTCTCTGTTTCTAGCAACATGGAAGATTTTCCAATAAGGAACATCCTTTGCTAAAAGACATGTTCAAAACATAGCTAAATGTATTTAAAATACATAATTGAGCTCCCATGAAAGAAAAGAACTCAGATGCCAGAAACAGGAAAAATTGAAAGGCGGACCTGGAAACACGTGAGCTGGCCCAGTGGCAGCTGTAACTAGAGTTAGTTAAGTAACCAATACTACACCCCTAATGACATCTGCATTTGTAGCTATGGCGCCCAGGATAAGCTTCACAGAGCTGCAAGCATACTATTTCTTCAAGTGAGGATGAAGTCATGGATGAGCATTTACTTATTGAACTATCCATTATATTGGAGTCAGAGCATTGTATTTTTAAAACATACACATATAAAGCTTACATTGTCAAACATTATTATTTCAGAATAGAAAAGGAGTTTCAAAATATTGTGCCAAATCATATGAAATTGTTGATGCTTTACCATTTTCTTTTTTTCTCTTTTTTTTTAAGATTTTATTTTTCCTTTTTCTCCCCAAAGCCCCCGGTACATAGTTGTGTATTTTTAGTTGTGGGTCCTTCTAGTTGTGGCATGTGGGATGCTGCCTCAGCATGGCTTGATGAGAGGCGCCATGTCGCTCATTGATTTGAACGAGCGAATCCCTGGGCCACCAAAGCAGAGCTTGAGAACTTAACCTCTCGGTCACGGGGCTGGCTCGTATCATTTTGTTAAACCATCAAATTATCAAATGAGACCGTTGGGTCCAATAGTTTGCTTTGCCTTATACAACTGATCCTCAATCTCAGTGAGCTTGGAAGTCCATCATTCACTTCTCAGTTCCCCCATGTAATTGACTTTCTCTGTTTATCAGAGCATGTCCCTTAGGAACTCCCACTCCCTCACATCCCACCTCTCCTGGCCTCAGCTTAAACATCTGGTTATTCTGTTCTGTCCAATTTCCTCTAAGTGGATCTACATGGGGGAGAAAAAGTACTAATCCATGAATGAAGTTGAGACTGAAGGAGAGGCAGGAAGAAACTTGGACCTCACTAGTGCAATTCAAGGTCAAGCCAGCTCCAGGACCATTAGCCCTGTCACTCCCAAGGATGCTCACCTCATGCTGTATGATGCTGAGCATCTCCACCACTGTCTCTGCTTTGAGTTAAGTTCTATAAGTCCCCTTCCTATCATCTAAGCTTGGTGAGTGTCGGGCCCCAGAAAGGAAGTTATAGGAAAAGGTAAAACTGCCTTCCATATTGATTTGTGCAGAATCTTCCCTTTTCAACCATATACCAGATGGAAAGAGGTGTTCTTACTCTAGTATCATCTATGATCTCAGAGCTAGGATCAATTCTTATAATGATATAGTAGGAAAAAAGCAGAAAAGTGACCTGGTTTTAAATCTTGTCACTGCTGTTACGGATTGTGCTTAACTTCTTGACCTGTGGTTTCCTTGTCTATAAAGTGGAACCTAGGCCACGCCTAGCCACAGAAGCTCATTATAAGGATCCAGTAAAATAAAGTCTGTCAAGTGTTTTGAAATGCCAAGGTACAACCAAGTGGTCAGGGAAAGTTATGTCGAGAGCAGAGGTAGGAAGTCACAATGGTAGAAAAACCAGAGAGAAAATCAGAATGAGCCAAAGTGAAGGGTTCTACAAATTCAATCCCAAAAGGAATATGTATTTAGGAGACATAAATGAGTCTACTTAAGTCACAAACACAGCCCACACTTAAGGATAATGACAGTCACTTCCTTAGACATGAGTCCACTGACTCAGTGGATGTTCTGAGATCCAACACTCTCCTGGGTTCACATCCAGATTAACATCACCTCTTGCACCGAGGTTTGCAGGGTAGGCTCTGTGAGCGGCCAAATATCTCTCAGTGTTCTCCTTCTACCCAACACAGAGAGAAAAGGAGAGTCAAGTCTTTCACATGGGTGCACCCCATGCCTTTAAGGTCCCATTATGACTTGCAAGATTTAATTTCAAATATTGCAATATTTCTTCATACAGTAATCACCTTAACAAATAATTCCCATATTGAAAAAAATGGAGTGACAAATTTGGCTACTGGAGCACAGTCATTATTACTGTACATAACAGAAGTGTAAATTGCCAGAGAACATAATTTTATTTGAACGTTTGACATATGAATTTAATATTTAAATTCTTTTCGTCACATACATCCACACTTTGCTTTGTGATAGTCTTACCTGAAGCTCCTGGAAAGATAGGTGAAGATCTCCTTAAAGCTCTGAGGTTGGAAGGACATAACTGCCCCAAACTCTTAAAAGTTGACTCCAAAGGGACTTCTGGTTACAGGTAGAATGCAGTCAGTTGCAGAAGAACACATTCTTGGTAGACCAACTGAAAAATACAAATTGATTTCAAAAATCATATTTAAAGAGATCAGAGAATTATGGAAACAAAAAGAATTAAATGAACAAAAATTCTGGAGGGCAGAGAGCTTTACGAAGGTGAAGAGTCTTTCATGGGCTGTTTCCTTCCCTGGCACATTTGCCGATTCTGAGCACACTCTGAAGATCAGACCTGGTCCATGCAGAAGAATCATAAGAGGACAAAGAGAAAAACAAAGTTTTTGGCATTCATACAAGGGACCACAACCATTTAGAAACTAAAATATCCCTAAATGGTTGGCAGTTTTTTCCGTAGTACCTTTGTTGAATTCTAGAGCTGAGCACAAGTTTAGGAAGTTTCTGTAAGACAGACTAAAATCCCCAATAATCGCATAGTAACTAACAGAAAAACTCTCACTTGAGAAAAGAGGCCAGGCTCAGAAACATGGCTGGTCTCCACAAGACATCCATCTAATTTGAAAGGAAGGTGTGGCAGGATGCTAAAGAACAGACCTAACCTTCCATAGTCTTCCAGAGCTTTCAATCAAAACTGCAGGAGAGACAGGCCTAAGGGGATAAGGCAGAACTGGAGGTGAAGGGACTCTTACTAAAACTCCATCCCTAACCCAGATCAGTCCCCGTGGATGGAGGTGATCAGCTCCTCACCTTCTCTGCCCCACAGAGGAAAAACAGAGCCCCATCTGGTAGAAGTAGCATGATACAGAGCTTCAATGACAAATTACTAACATGAAAAGAAGCAGCAAAATGTGACCATTAACCTAGTGGAACAAACAATATCAGTGGATACAAGGAAAATAAATGGATATTGTAGTTAGCATTCAAGGGCTTTGATACAATGATTAATATGTTCAAGAAATCGGAAGAAAATATAGGCAAAAGTGATGAAAGGATGTGGAATTTTATCAAAGAATTGGAATCTGTAAAAAAATAATCATTCTAAGACTGAAAAATGAAGTATCTGAAATTAAGACCTCATTGGATAAGTTTAATAGTGCAACAGAAGATTTGGTAAATGATCCCAAGAAGGATCAGTATAAAATATTTGACTAAAGCACTGAGAGAACAAAAAAATACATGTATCAGTCACATGCAGGTCATAGGGCAAAACCCTATTCCTTGCTATTAGAGTTAACTGGAGGAGGAGGAGGAGATGATGATGATGATGAAGAGGAGGAGGAGCTAACATCTGTGCCAATCTTCCTGTTTTTGCTTGAGAAAGACTGTCACTGAGTTAACATCCATGCCAATCTTCCTCTATTTTTGTATGTGGGACACCACCACAGCACGGCTTGATGAGCAGTGTGTAGGTCCATACCTGGTGTCCAAACCCGTGAACCCCAGGCCACTGAAGTGAAGTGCATGAACTTCACCATTACTCCACCAGACCAGCCCCTCTGTGTGGGAAATTTTTTAATTACTGATTTTCTTTCTTTAGTAGGATTATAAGAATATTCGGGAAGAGGAGGAGGAGGAGAAAGGGAGAGAAAGAGACAGAGAGGAAAAGAAAGGAAGGAAGGAAGGAAGGAAGGAAAAAGGACAGGATAAATATATAAAGAAAACATAGTCAAGAATTTTCCAAAGTTCTTAAAGAAAGCAACCCTCATATTCAAGAATCTCAACTAACCCCAAAGATGATAAATATAAAGAAAACCAAAACTAAGCACATCATAATCAAACTGCTGGGGACAAGATTCTCCCTGTTTCTGATAGGCTGGATGGCCACCGTGCTACAGGTCTTATGTTAAACTCAGATAGAATGTACGACAAATTATTTTTTAATACTGCTAATTTTAAAAGGAAAATTAACTTCCATATCTTCAAAATAAGACCAAGTGGAAGATGCATAAATTGTGTTTATTGTTTGAAGATTTTAGCTGCTTTTCAAAAATAATAGAACTCACTTGTTCCAATTTGTCCTATAATCAAGATAAATAAAAGCAATTTCAAGAAGAATCTCCATGCCTGACTAATATGAATAAATCGGAACATTGAGAAAGTAATCAAAGAAGCAGAGGTAAGAATACGAATTCTTAACTCTTCATGTATTTACTCTAGAAAACACAGATATACAGGGGCTGGCCCCGTGACCGAGTGGTTAAGTTTTCCTGCTATGCTTCGGCGGCCTGGGGTTTCGCCAGTCTGGATCCTGGGTGTGGATATGCTTATCAGGCCATGCTGAGGCAGCGTCCCACATAGCACAACCAGAAGGACCACAACTACAATATACAACTAGGTACTGGGGGGCTCTTAGGAGAAGAAGAAGAAAAAAAAAAAACAGATATACAGAAAGCTTTAGAAAGCTTGGCTGAGGTTGTTCATGATAGAATAGTAGAGAATCAGGCATAAATTGTGGATGGACTTAGAGGTAAAGAGTCAACATTTACTGAGCCTTTAATTACAACAATTATTGAGCCTTTAATAGGTGTGAGGCATTATTCCAAACTTTTTACAGAAATCATCATGGATGTGAAATGAACTTTACATAGATACATACACGGATATGAAAATGAACTCATTTACAAGCTGAACTTCCATAATGTAAATCATTTCAGACAGTACACTATGTTCAGGTCCACTAACTCTTTTTTCCTTTTAGTTAGAGATAAACATTCATTCTAGCTGTCGGCTTCTGCATTTTCTCCGGAGTGTCGCAGATCCCAGTGGAATCAACCTGGGTTCTCTCTGAGTCCCTTTTTCACAGACCAAGCCTGCTCTACTCTCCTTTCTCGTCTCAGAAACTGCCAACCCCTCTCCCTTCCTCAAATTACACCATCCCCTTCCAGCCATAAGCCTGGCTGTGAAATAGGATATAGTCCCTCGACTTTTCTCTTCCCTTCCAGCACACACATCCATTTCCTCCTAAATTGTTTTTGCTAATCACTTTGGGAAACAGGGATAATTAAAATCATAACATGAAGGAATTTAAAAACTCATAATATTCTTGGAGCCATGCACTCTTTATTCTTTCTGGAGCACTCTTTTCTCTGCATCTGAAATTCTAACCAAGCTCAGTTGGGATTCTGCCCCCCTATATCAGTCACCAAATTTCCTTCTGGGCCCTATCCCTTGATTAAATTAAATCCTGCTGATGTCATAAAAACATCTGGTGTGTCTGGGCTCCAAGGGCTCAGTTCACAACTTGGAGGCCCCCTGAAGTCTCTGCTCTGACTCTACCAGCTATTTCCTCCATAACATGGGACTCTCCAAGGTAAAGGGTCCATCAGCACCCAGTACCTCTCATTCCCCCGTCCCCTGAGAGGAAAAAGAAAAGAAAATTTGGAAGAGAAAGGTTCTCAATATCTAACAAGGTGACATTATGTCCTAGGGCCTTCAGACAGACCCATGTGCCCAGCTATCATAAGTAGATCTACACAACAAGACATTTGCCATTATGAAATTCCTAACATTCAAGCCAACTATAGATATCGTCCCACTTCACTCAATTGAGTCATTATCTTCCCAAGCTGGACACACAGGAGTCATCTTTCCTTCTTTCTGTATCCTTTACATTCAGTCTAAGGTTACTATTTATTCCCTTTATTTTTATTTATTTATTTTTTTTTTTTGAGGAAGATTAGCCCTGAGCTAACATCTGCCACCAATCCTCCTCTTTTTGCTGAGGAAGATTGGCCCTGAGCTAACATCCGTGCCATCTTTCTCTATTTTATATTTGGGATGCCTGCCACAGTTTGGCTTGATAAGCGGTACATAGGTCTGCACCCAGGATACAAACCAGCAAACCCTGGGCTACCAAAGCAGAACGAGCAAACTTAACTGCTGTGTCACCGGACTGGTCCCTTTATTCCCTTTATATTTTATAGTCACTTTTTCACCATCACTCTCTTTTTTCTGCTGAATGTAAGTATTTGCTAGTTATATGTAGTCACCTTTAAAATATCTTGGAAGAAACTGACACCAGTTGATGTTTGAAAGATTTCCTTTCTCTCCTGCTCTCTAATTTCTTTTTAATGACTGCCCATTCTGTTGTTTTGGCTTAATACTTATTTTTCGTATCTTAAATAATTTACTTTCCACAAGATAAGAGTTTTTCCAGCACTTCCTGCTTACGTCTCTGTAAACACAACAAAACCGGAAAGGCAGGATTATGTCATATGTACCTTCCACCAATCTACCTTTGATTCTAGGCGTTTAGCATCAAAAGCAAGTCTATAGAGCCGCATAGCAGTGAGCAGCGTTCATCACTCCCCATGCTTTCCTCCCCGTTATTAATCTGCCTACAGAACACATCACTCTGGCTGCTGGGAGATGTCAGTACTCAGAAAGGAACTTTAAAATTATGTAAGAAATGAGTTCACTGACCTCTATTTCCTTGCCTATTTGGTAAATAATTTGTGGTTTTCTGAAACTGGAAGCATATTTTAGAGTTCAAGCAAGCTTGGCAGTAAATTGTCCCAAGGCTCATAAAAATGTGCACACGGGGTTTTGCAGACACCAAATCAAGTAACTAAAGTGAAATGAAACCAAAACAGAGCTGCGTGTATGCACACAGCGTACCCCAATCCCCAAACTGTAGACACAGTGGTCTGTCTTCTGGTGTGTAGCACAAATTCTATAACAGTAAATAGTTCAGTAGTCAAGCTGTTTGTTCCAGTTGCTTTTTCCCCCTAATTTTTACAATATCTCTACAGTCAGTTTTGACTGCTTTAATGAAAGACATAGATTATGGGTTGCAACCTAGACCTCCAGAACCTCTCAGGGTCTAGCAAGGCCATTGTCCGTTGTCTCTCGTCTTCCGCATGTTCCAAGGAAGGTCAGGAAGGCAAGTCAGAGCTGATAGCAAAGACACTATGAGGACGGAGGTGGGGTGAGCAGAGGCACACACTCTGGCTTTGGGAAAAGAAAAGAAAACCACATGTAGGGATCCCAGCAGGCTACACATCATGCGGAGGAAGAGGAAGTTGGCTCAGACATATACTAACCGTTCAGTTCTGTTTCCCTTTCTAGTAAAACGTTCAGTCATTGTCCCAA